TCTTCATTATCTCTAAATGCCACTGCCTCTGTTGTACCGTGTGTTAAAGGAAATCTACAGCCACCTTTGTTCCCTTGAAAAATAGAACCATTCCATTTCCTACAGATAAATTAGATTCACAATGACGCATAATAGAAAACCAGGGATTTCGACTAATCTGTGTGATGTTCAGTTGTTCCAAACCAAATTGTATTCCAGGCCAACAAACCATCTCTAGTCGCTCATCATGGAAGGAAAAGAAATTCGGGGTGGGGAGGGTCCCCGGAGCACGGACCGGCACTTGAGAGACTCGGCTCTCTTCCCACCAGGAGGAAACACTGCTTTGTCGCTGGGACAATGGAGAGGCCGTGCGCCTGGGGCTTTACGCAGAGGGAGACCGTTGCTCAGAAAAGTCAGTCCAGAAAGCAGAGCGTAAATGTGTGAGCAGAATATGACAAAGGGAATGATTCAGAAGGGCTATCTCTCAAGTCTTCCAGGCAAAAGAGATCTGGCTGGGGGCCCTTTGAGCACGATGTCTTGTTCTTGAAAGAGAAAAGCAAAGCACCCTGATGGTACTGATCTCTCCCCTCCAAGTTCAGGCCACCCTGAGTGACCTCTCATCTGCTGGGGTTGAGTGCAGTGGTCTGTCACTACAGCTTCTGAACTGAAGGACGCGACCCGCCGTCACAGACCTGGGCTCACCCGACAGTCACTTAGAACATTAAAGGGCGAGGTAGGAAAATCATTTCCAAAGCGAACTCCATCACAGTTGCATCCGAGAGTCAGGCAGGTGCTCCGTCCCAGCCTCCCAGAAAAGAAGTTCCCACCCAGAGTTAAGCAAGGGTCCTCAACTAAAACAGCAATACATTTGCGGACACCTCTTTTCTCTCACCTCGGCTTTTGGTGAGAAAGTGGCTTCCGCAATCTTATGGATCGGCAATAAATCTAATAAACTTCACTGACTGGTAATCCAGTTCATTTAAAGGGGTAGATTATGGGGGAGCACGTGTGTAGATGCTGCAAGACAATGCTTATACCCAGACAGAAAGGATGCCTACTTAAAAAAAAAACCACACACACACACAATTAATTTTCCCATATGTATAAAGTAGACAACCACCTACGTCTATATACAAACAACACAGCACACAGAAGGGAGTATGGCCCAGGGCAAAGGTAACCACCAGTCTACTGTTTTATTTGTTTGTATCCTGGGACTTCATTTCAATGGAATCCTAGGACACAGACTCTTATCTCTGGTTTCTTCTGCATCATGTTTGTGAAGGTCACTGGGGTTGCGGCACCCATCCGCCACTGGTGCTTTCCCTTGCTGTATGGTACTCCACTGGATAGGTAACCCAGAAATGGTTATCCATCCTTTGTTGACCCGTGCTTGACTCGTCTCCAGTTTGGAACTGGGTGGGCAAAACTGTGCCAAACATCCTAGTACATCTCCGATTTGTATATTCTTGTCTTTTTTTTTTTTTTTTTTACATTTATTCATTTTTGAGTGGGGGCGCATGACTTGGGGAGAGGCACAGAGAGAAAGGGAGACACAGAATCTGAAACAGGTTCCAGGCTCCAAGCTGTCAGCACTGAGCCCGACATGAAGCTTGAACTCACAAATCGTGAGATCATGACGTGAGCTGAAGTCAGATGCCCAAGCTACTGAGCCTCCCACGCACCCCTGTATATTCTTGTCTTTGTTAACGTGGAAATTGAGACTTCATCACCTACTCGACGGCAGGCCTGGAATCCGGGAGTTCTCCGCACGACAGCTGCACATTGACAAGAAGAAGGCTAAAGAAGAGAGACTCGGCTATTTTCTTAGTCGTCTATCTTGTACCTTCTGGTCTCTTTATTTTCCAGATCCTTCTGCTTTCAGGAAATCCCACTTTAAAAGAAGCTATTTTTCCCTTTGCAAGTCAATCTTTCTCAGCAAAAATCTGAAGGGAAATGCAAGAAGCCAATTTTACCCTAATTGATTCATAAAGTGAATCCAGTCTCTCCCAACTTTAGTTCTTTTTCTACAAGAAGTGAACATAACAACTCATTCTAGACCCTAAAACACACAGATGTCTCGTCCATAAAAACTAACAAGAGTCGGGGTATGGACGTTGCCAAATGGTTCCTGGTCTCCCTAGCCGGCCCCTGGCATAGTGATCGTTTTAAAGATTAGAACACGATGACCCATTAACCGCACCGGTATAGAATCTCCACATAGGCAAGGGTGTGGCGAAGCTAGCTTTCATCAGTATTTACATTTGTGATGTGAGGGTTTGCAATTAAGGAATTCGGTAGACAGACAGACTGGTTTCAAAAAAGAGGATGGTACCGGTGATCTGAAAAACTGAAACACTATTAATCTCCTCGACAATTGAGCTCCTAAAGTTAGTCCTGATGACACTAAGAAGTTCATTAAACTCTCTTCCTCATAGAAGTGGGTTTTCTAACCTACCAATTACAGTTTTCCATTTTCTTCCTAGAATTACACACCATGTGCATCTCAAATAACACCGTCCCCGGAGCCTTCCTCCTGCCGGCTCACACTGCCCCCCATGGTTCCGTTCCAGCCTCCTGTGTGTGCGTTCATGTTTATCTGTTTTCACTCATGGCCCCTAAAACTTTAGCTGTCCGTTACCACCAGCACAATTTCAGTATTTCAGGTAGTTTTATTTACAGTGACATGTTTAAGAGATGGAAGGCAGATTTCGATTTTATGGATTAGCAATAAAGCAAGATTTACTGAAAGCAACCCTGATCACTGGGAGAAAAATACTGGGCCTGCCGTAGTCATAGCGCGTCCCCAGGGGAATTACACTGGCATGATCCATGGCAATGATCCTTCCCACCTGGCATCGAATGTCCCCCAAGCCCTACGCGTCCCAACATCAGGTCCCTCCCAGGCAGCACAAGGGGTTACAGGTCTCCGGGCCGTTCATGCTGCTAGCACATGTCTCCGGCCAGCTCTCACCAGCACTGGGGGCCGGCCAGGCAAGTAAACAGGCTGAAAACGAAACTCGGGGATCTGGAGTAAGAAAAGACGATAAAAGGAGTGAGTGGGCAGAGTTTGGAGTCACATGTCCAGGACTCACTTCCTGGGTACGCCCAGATGCCAAAGGGCTGGAGACCTGTGTCCCAGAGGAGGCCGCGAGGTGAGGAGGGAAAGGGGGGTTTCAAGTTGTCTTTCTTCTGGGATGCTGGACGCCGTGCCCGAAGCACCACATACAGACAAATAAAGCACTTCATATGAAGCAGTCAATAAAGAACAGATGCCACGTGAAGCATGATGGTAGGCTCAGTTCAGCTCAGTGAACAAGGAACTAGTAGTGGCTGCGTCCCAGGGACACGGCTGGTGCCGAGGCAGGGACTCGGGATAGGCGGCCAGAGGTGTGCAGACCTGCAGACGCATGGGAAGAGGCGGCCAAGGTCCCCTCCCCTCCTGTCCGCGGGGCTCATCCCCTGGAGCATGGCGCTGCCCTCGGACCCACCATCTGTCCGCCCTTTCTTGGGAAATATTCGCTCTAATGAGTGTGGCCGCTCTCAAGTACCTTCAGGAAGAATGAACTTCAAGCCCCAAGCCTGTGAAAATGTGGGGAGCCAGGAGACCTGAGGCCAGCCGGCTTCTTGGTGCCAGGTCCTGGGACTGCCAGGAATCAGCTCAGAAGACCCTCCACCCGCCCCATGGGTGGATTGGGTGGGTTTGCTGAAGGGGGAAGGGGCGGTGTGAGGCTCCTGGTCCATCCCGATGGCTTCCTCCCCAAGCGAGCTCAACTGTGCCCTGAAACAAAAGCAACACGTATACCCTGTGGTGTCTGCAGGCCGGTGGCGTGTGTGTCAGGGAGGGCGGGGGGTTTCGATCAGGAGCGGCCCTGGCGCCAGCTCTGGAGTGTTCCTAGTGTCAGCGGGCAACAGACCCAGAGGGCACCCCCCTTCTGTCCTCAGCACTCACAGCTGGCCTGCTGTCAGCCTCCACTTAGAGAGGCTGACCCTGGGTTGGACTCCTCCGGGAAGCATGCCCCTGACCCTGGCCTCCACGAGGCAGCCATCCGCAGGTGAGGGGGCAGACGCCTAACCCCCCGCCCCCGGCCCCGCCCGCCCCTCTTCCCCGGCTCCAGGATTTCAAAGCCCCGCCGGGGCTGGGCCGCCCGGCAGAGCAGGCAGCCATCGCTCAGGGACCCCGGCGAGCCCTCCCGGGAGAAAACGCCGGGTCCTCCGCCCTCAGGCTGCTCCGGAGGCGGCTGGAGGGTAGACTCAACAAGTTCCCGGGCCGCGCAGCGCCGCCTGCAGCCCAGAAACCCCGCGGACGCGCCGCGGTGGAGCCCCGAGCACAGGCGGCAGCCGCCGGCGGCTCCTTCCACCTCCTCTCCAGCTCGGGCTCGGGCTCGGGCGTCGGCGGGCGGGGGCTCCCCCACTCCCCCCCGCCTCGCTCCCTCCCGATCGCCCACCCCACGCACGCCGCCCGCCGGGCCCCGCGCCGCCCCCGCCCCCGCCCCCGCCCCGCGGGGCTCGGGGCTCCGCCCGCCTCGGTGCCAGCCGGGCGCACAGGCGGCGGGCGCGCGGCTCCGGAGCCCTCTCCTCCGGCCGCCGGGCTGCGCGGAGCGGCGGGGACCCGGGGGCGGCTGCAAGGACTTCCCTCCCGCTCCCTCCCCCTCTCCGCCCCCGCCGGCCGGCCCCGGCTCCGCGATCTCGCCGAAGACAATCGCAGTAAATGAGGACATCGGAGGAGCACGGCGCCGGGTGGCTGTGGCTGGCTCCGCCGCGCCGCCAGCAAGCGAGCGCGCGGGCGTCCCCGGAGCCGGCCGAGCCGCTGCCTCCCCGCGCGCGTCGCTGAGCCGGGCCGGACGCGAGCTGCGGCGCGGGGGCCGGGCCGGGCCGGGCGGGCCGGGCCGGCGGCGGTGGAGGGGGCGGGCGGCGGGCGCGCGGGCGGCCGAGTCCCGGCGCCGAGCCTTCCTGGCGCGAGCCCGGCGAGCCGCGCCGCGGATGCCCTGCCCGGAGCGCTCCGTGCCGCGCCAGGCTCGCCCGGGTCGGCGGCGAGACATGCCCGTGCCAGGCGCCGCACCGACCTCGACTTCTCTGTAAGCGGCGGAAGGTAAGCGGAGCCCCGCGCGCCCCCTCCCGCGCCCCGGCGCCCGCCGCACTTGGCCGCGGGCAGAGCACCGCTCGGACGGGCGCCGACCCGGGCCGGGCGCTCGCCCTCGCCCTCAAACGGGCTTCGCCGGGGACCCGGCGGCTCCCGGGGGCCGGGACGCGCCGGCGCGGCCAGGAGCGGACCGCGCGGCGGGCGAGGTTACGCAACTGCCTCTGGCGCGGCCGGGTCGCCGAGGGGCGTCTGGCAACTTTGGCGACGGCCTAGGAGGAGCCGGGCTGCGTGTCTGCGCTGTCGGTTCCAGACCAACGCCACGGCCTCGTGAGCGCCCGAGAGCCCTGGCTGGGCAGCGCTGGGGACTCGCGGGCGGCCGCGTCCCCGGATCGTTTCGAGGTGTTTTAAGTATTTTCCAAACTAAAGCGAACTGGCAAGTACGGCTGATTAACTTCGGGGGGGATCAGTCCGAGCAGAGGGGCCCTGGCCGGCCGCCGAAGAGAGCAGCGAGCGGGAGCGAAGGCAGACGCCCACGTGAAATCCCCATTTCCTCCCGTGGCGCCGGGGCTCGCTCGCTCGCGTTGGCACCTTCGCGGGGCTGCGGGCCGGGTCGGTGCCCGCGGGCCTTCGGGGTGCGCGGCACCCCGTGTCAGCCCGGGACAGGCGTGGGAAACCAACCACTGCTGCAGAGCGAGCGAGCCGGCCGGCTGGCGAGGGCGAGTGGGAGGAGGGTGCCCGCGGGCCGGCCCGGGGCCGGGGCAGCGCCTGGAGCCCAAAGTCAAGAGCGAGAGTCTGCGTCTTGCTGGTTCATGCTCAGGGTTCCCAGCTGGCGTCTCCATCGCTGGGATAAAGAAGCTGTCCCTGTGACCTCAGCATTCTACTACCCAGAAACATGCCACGGGGAGATGGAGCTGTGATAAGGGGATGCCAGCAGTGGGGGAGGAGAGGCGCCCCTGGAGTCAATAGGGGAGAAAGTCGGTGTTTTTGGCTCAGCTACAGAGCAGGGCTTCTGCCCGGACCCCTTTCTCGCCGCAGGTCTGTGCCTGGGGGCTGGAGCCAGAGGCGGCGGTGGAGCAGTTTAATTTGACCTTGTCCGCTTAGGTGCTTCAATCCTGCGGAAGCATCCTGAGGTGAACTGGCCGGAGTGGGAAGGAACTTTGGGCTAGCCCTGCCTTGGCTGCAACCCACACTGTCATTTCACAGGACTACAGCTCAGACTGGCGGAGGGTCCATGCGCTTGGAGGTTCTCCCTTGGACAGGGACTTGCTAGGGGTTACCTCCCCTTATGCCAGTGGGGGACTGTCAAGGTTAGAGCCAAGGGGACTTGATTGAAAAATACCACCCAAATCACCTGACCCGGGCCATTCCCAGCGAGTTGTGCATATATGAAAATGCTCTATCGTTATTAAGCTTATGCCACAGATCCAGCAGAAAGTAACCATCATTTCACTTTGCAGAGGCGGAAAGTGCCGGTTTGTACTATTCACGTAGTGCTATTTATTGCATTCATATCCTGTTGAATGTTACTTTCCAAAGAAAAAGTTCATATTTATCCTTGCCTTTTTTTTTTTTTTTGCAAGAATGATTAGCACATGGGCACAGGCAGCTCAAAGGAAAAACGGAAGGCCTGTTGTCTGCATGCCTCACCAGATATTAGTAATTTACTACCCATGTTTACTACTTACATTAGATGGCACTGCTACTCATGACGGTTTTATTAGAGGCGCATGTGGATAAAAAACGTCTGGCACAGCTATCACTAATTGCATGATTTTGCATAAATTATGTTAGCTACAAAGAGTTTGAGCTTTTCTTCACTAAATTCATCATTTCCTTAAAGACAGAAGGATTCTGTTTAATTTCTTTAGCTAAATGAAAGACCTCTGCTTAAAGACAGGTTGCCCTTGAAACACAGAGTATGCCTTTAAACATACTACAGTTGTCATGACTTCATTTTTTATTATTGTGATTAAGACTTGGAGCTTTTACTTAAATCAGGCCCATTATCCTATTGAAGAGCACAAACACTGGTTAGGAAACAGAGTAAGAAGGCAAAAGCTGGAGAGCTCCATGCTTCACACAAAGAGCTTCCAAAAAGCCCTATGGAAAGTTGGATAATCCCTTATTACTCTGTTTACCTGGGGCTTCTCTGTTCTGCCACAATTGTTTTCCCCATGACAGGATAGGGAATTTTTGTCTCGTTTCTCCCTCGATCCAGAAGGGGAAAAAAATCCAAGTAAATAAGCACGTAACTGAAAGGCTTGTGCATGAAAGGCATCAGTCTACCAGGAAGACTCCTACACATTGAAACAAGCAGTCAGAAAATAAAAATGATTCTCAGAACAGTTGATCACAGCAGACCAGCTGGACAGATGCGTTTACTTAGCTAGAGATTTGTATTCTCCTGGCTGTTCCAACCCATGGCTGTCTCATTTAGAGCAACGACTACTGAACTCTCTTGTATGAGGAGATCAGTTACTGTTGGGGACAGGCTGCTTCTCGGGGAGTAACGATAAAGAAGTCACAGCTAGACGGCACGGCCATGGTCTACGGACCAGCATCCATGGAGGAAGGCGGGGGCAGGGGCAGTGGGGACTTTTTATTCTGAAGCTCTGGACCAGCCCACCCGACACCTGAGCAGGTAACACGTCAAGGCTGCTACTTAACAAATCAGCAGTTAACCAAAAAAAGCATGTCTATTTGAGGCCAACCACAGTCGTCTGGGAGAAAGGGAGGTGATTAGGGTCCTCCAAACCTGGCATCTTTGGTAAACAGTTCCTCCATGAATGTGAAGAACCCTTCCCCACCGTAATTCCACTGAGATCTTCACTTCCAGCCCAAAATTAGCTGACATAATTTATGAAGCAGATCCTTCTCAGTCTCCTCACATATTTGATTTTAATATTTCATAACATTATGGAGTGACTTCAATATTTTAAAGGAAAATTTAATATGACTGATATTACATGACAACACTTTTATTACCGTGAAATTTGCATACAAACATTGGGAGAAGTCTTTCTTCAATATTTGAGCTGATGGTATAAATGTAGTAAAACATCATAATTTTTAATCCACTTATTTTTTAAATGTTTATTTATTTATTTTGAGAGAGAGAGCAAGCATGAGCAGAGAGGAGCAGAGAGAGGAGAGAGAGAATCCTAAGCAGGCCACGCGCTTTTAGTGGGGCTGAATCCCACAAACTGTGACATCATGACCCGAGCCAAAATCAAGAGTCAGATGCTTAACCACTTGAGCCCACCCAGGCGGGCCCTAATCCATTTATTTTAAAAGTTCTATATCTTATGTATTAAGGACAGAGTAGTGAATCGGTACCAAGTTGTGGGAACCCAGTTGGGATTCATACGAACACATTGTTGAGCTGTCATCTCACATTAAACAATAAACCGTACAAGGTACAGGCTCAAACCTCTGGACCATGTATGTTAACGTATCTGCCTCATATCCCCGGGCACTAAAGTGTCCCCAAGCAACCAAGAATCTAGAACCTCTCAGAGTAAGAGAAATCGTAACTTCAGACTACATCTCCTGGTTCCAGACTCAATCCCTGTTATAAACTCAGTCAGCACCTCCTCTGCCATAAACCGTCAGGATACTCAGTGTGGGTTTGAGTCATATGCACTTCAGACATCATTCATACCATAATGGATGAGTTGAGGGACTTTGAGGTATACAGAGATATTATCAAGAGACAAACCGCTGATCTAAATAAAAACAAAACACTCTAACCTGAGAGTTCTGTGTCTTTCTGCTGAGTGCATATTCTCAGCTCTAATTGAGACACAGAGAAAATTAACGTGAATACAGAAAAGGAGATATCAGGGACAAGAAGGAAATCATGTTTCCAAATCATAAAGCTTTTTGCTAATACCGTATTTAAAAGGGATTGGAAAAGAAATGTCTCCAAAGTCAATATTCGTGAATATTGCTTTTCTAGCACATTGATTGGATTATTCAGAGCACTGGACATGCATATCACTGTCTTTATCACGTCATCTTGCTCTTCCGGAAGTTTGGGCGAGAAAAGATCAGAGAGAGGATCAGGCTGGCACACTGTATGCTCACCTGAGTTACGCTCTTAGAGCCATGGCAGGGGGAAAGAAATTTTTTTAAAAATCGAAACACCATGGCAAAATGCTAATCAAAGTTTATGCTGCAGTTACTATGGAAAATTCCAATTCAATCCTTAATAATCTAGCCTTGGGCATAAAATGGAATGCAGTAAACTACAGCATACGAGGCACATGAGAAGGACTTTGAGGCCACAAACACCACACAAAAAGAAGTTGCTCTCTCCTCGGTACTCCAGAGGGAGTGAGGGCAGGGGGGAGGCTGATGGCCTCGGCTGCTCATGTATTTCAGCTGCTCAGTTGAGGACCGACCGTGGGGACACATCACATTCACATTCAACCTTAATGAAACTGACCAGTCTTCGTGTTTCTCGGTCATTTCAGGGGTGACGTGGGTCCACACTAGTTGTTCCCAGGGAGGCATCCTGTGTATGTCAACTTCTCGTTTCTCTATCTTTTGCATCTGTCCTTAGTGGTTAGACTAAACACCGTAGGTCATCTGAAAGTTGCTTTAGGAAATCTGCTTGCTTTCATGGTAAGTGGCTTCTGTGGCCTTGGAAGTGTACTGGAATCATGAAACCTGGGTTCTGAAAATGGACAAACACGGGGAAGGTAGACTGACCCGAGGATGGCTTTGTCTACAAAGGACTGCACGTTCGTGGAAATGTACTGAGCGGTGGCAGCAGTGACCAGGGCGATGTGTGAGCGTCCGAAAACCAAATGACAGGTTCCTCAACAAGTCCCAGTCTAGGAGGGCAAAAGGAGCGGGGAGGTGGAATCAGGCTCCACACGTGGAGGTTCCCAAGAGAAAGCAACACCCTGGCTGGGACGAAGGTTGGGATTGGACCCCTGAGCCCAGCAAATCCTGGAGCTCAAGGCCAGTTGTCACGTGCTCAGAGCTGGAGATCTGTTTGGGAA